GGCAACTTCTAAATCATACCACCGTCGGCTGTGTGACAGCAACAATGTGTGTCTGTCATGCTGGTTCCTCGATTCTTACTGGAAGCTCTGTTAACAGATTTGCACTTGTTTTACGTTGACTTACAGAGTAGCCATTGTCTGCTGTGGCTCGCACAAATTGCAGGTGTGCAAGCGTAATTCGAGTGCTTTGCAGAAATTGAATCCACCATTTTTGCTCTCTATGGTTGGTTGCAGGCATGGCTGTGGTGCATGCCCCCCTCTGTTCGCTGTTATGGGAAGGTATGGAGCAATTTGACTGCAATATAACACCCAACAAAGCACTGCTGATGACTTACCAAATGTCCAACAGTCACTTCTCAGAGAAGCAATACCTCGGCCCAATTCAGTTTGCGCCTTTCAAGCTTTCTGCATCGCAGTGCTGCAAAGTGCATGTGGAGATGCTTTGTGAACAGAGCTGTGCGTCTGCAGCTATGCATGGATTTCAGTTGTGCGTAACACGCGTGAACAATTATAGAATCTGCCCAGATGTGACAAGCGGCTTGAGGACGCAAATTCTAAATGCTAGCCCACGTAGTGACGAAAATTCTTTTGTCCTTTTTCAAGCTTCTCTTTTTTTCCAATTTTCCCCATCCAGGGCGTACTAGCATATTTTCTTAAGGTGAAACAAGTGTAGAGCACTTGTTTCAAGCTAATTGAGCCACTTTTTAAACTTTGCAGTTTAACTTGAAAGCATTGGTATCCAGTGTTCAAATGTTCGTGTTTTGTGGATAGCATTTTCCTTCCGATGTGTTGCTGGTCCTGTCTTGTATATTACAGTTTGCCAACAGGACAGCAGAAACTTTCGGTGGTCCTGACCTGTTGGCAGTGCACGCCTCTTTCTGTGTTATTTAAGAGGGAGTGATAGACTGCTTGGGTTTGTAAAATAAATGCTGTGCCAGAAAGTTTTGACAAAATGTTGTCCTGTGTTTCCTTTTTCATAATAAGTAGGCATGTGTGTGTGCTGACAATGAACTTTATTGTTTTGGTTGTGTAAACTGCAAACAGCCCGTCTGCTGCAAATAGTTCAATTGGTATTTCTTGATACCAAAGTCTATCTTCGCTTTAAACTCAGTTTTAAATAGTGTATACCTTGATGTGAAGAGGCTGATTTGACCTGAAAAACAAAAAAACACTTAATAACAATAACGGATCACCTTGACCAAGATATATTTAAAGGGACACAACAGAAACAGTGTCTAGGTTTAGATTGACAAACTGCATTTTAAGAACATCATGTCAAATGTTTCACTATCATAAGTTCATTAGTAGCAGAGAAAATCAAGGTTAAAGCTTCATTTTTAAATTTCATGCCCAAATCTCTGTGTGTAAGAAAAAGTTTCAAAGTGAGTGAGTGAACAACTTTTATCAACCCCCTGCAGGTTACCGGGCTGGCTACTTGCCTAAGAGTCGGCCGAGAGACCCTGTCTCTGCGCAGTTTCCATGGCCTGTTGGATCGCCCAGTGTTTGTGTGGTCCTGAGCTTAGCAGCTCAGGACTAAATTTCAAAACTTACTTTTGGTTTTGTAATAATGGCTAGGATGTGATTTTCTGATACATAACGCGAGGTCTATGACTCGCAAAGATCGCAATGTACTTCATTTTTAGAGATTTTAAGCTACTTAGGACTTAAGTTACGTAGGACTTTATAGATGCATTAAAAATCTATGACGTCATCGTTCGGTGCAGGAATATAAAGTTAGCGTATACACCCACATTTTCATGGCATGCATATTTGTGTCCCTTTCACCATGATCATATTTTTGCACTTCATGCCTAGATTTCATGTGCCAGAAAAGTCTGGAACATTCTGTAGGGGTTTTCACTGCAAGCGTGATTCTATGAAATGGCATAATGACGACTGGGGTAGTCAGTGCTGCTTTTTTACTGCCATTGCCTACATGTTCGGTAGAACGGTTTTGTGCAGTCACTAGGTCTACATAGCACAAGAATGGTCTTGTCAGCTTAGCTCATAGTGAAAGTTGGTTTTCACTTATTTGGAAGCGTTTCAGCCACTTCACAGTAAACTTTTGCTTACTGTTGAAGTATAGTTTTGATTTAAGCTCATAAACGTGATTTTTTTTATTTCACTTGCGATGAATAGTGAGAAAAATTTAGAACTGTAAGGAAATGCTGACATACTTGAGGCATAATCACACGGAAGTAGAACTAATAGAACTTTCGGTGTTTTACTGAAACATTTCCTTTGGGCAGCTTACAAACCCATCTCAATTCGTGCTTGTGGTGTTTGAATTAACTTGAACTGGCATACTATGATGGCGATTCAAAGTAACACAATACAGTACATTCATTTCGTAATATTCCTTTGTTTCATTAATGTGGTGGAGGTAAATGAAGTAATCAGCTATTATAACATATGTCTAGTAACGAAGAGAGTGCTTCTGCTGTAGCAGGGTCGTTATGACATTGCACTGGTGAACGTAGGTGTGCTTCATACTGGCGTAACAGGTGCATTTTGCTGAGCACAAAATGCAAGCAAACACTTGATAGTTTTGTATGCATGTTGGACTTAATAAGGTCAAATTTGACCGATCTCGCTACTAGGCGTGCCAATCATTTTAATATTCTTAGTTGTAAAATGCCATTGTGATCATAGTGACACATTTTCATTTACCACCTTTGTGCTGTCTGTTGATGTTACTCTATTTTGAAATGAACGTTACTGTATCTAGTTAAATGTTCAGCAGTCACTTTTCGTGAATATTCTGTAGGAAGTATTCCAATTGGCGATACTGAAAGACTAAAGTGACAACGTGCATTGCACATTTGGTACTGCTAGTCTTGCCTCTTAATCAACAAGAAAACATTACTGGAGAAAATTTCTCTATTATACATTGAAGGAGCTCCCGAGATAAAGCCATCTTTTCAAGTTTCATGGGCCCAGTACCAGGCATCGTTGCCAGTATTGGTTAACCGCTAGAAGATCCAAAGTGCCGTCTCAGAGGCGCTTTACTAAAAGTTTTCAGATCTGTTCATTATTGGACATCCCAGAAGAAATCCAAAAGTCCCGTTACCATGCCCCCAGGGAACGGGTGCTTTAGCGACATATGCTTTATTCTCCCATTTCGTTGAGTTCTCTCCTGTGCCAGAGGAAAATGAGCACGTTGTGTTGACGTGACGAAACTGGCCCTCTTTTCTGCTACTGGTGCCTTTTCGTTGACGGCACTGCGCTCCAGTTTGGATTAAAAACGAGTCGCATGACATGGTTGCGATGTTCTATAAACGGTCTGGATTCGCGTGAGGGTGACCCCAAACAGGGCGCGGAAGCTCTTGAAGGAGCACTGAATAGAAATAGGGTGTATCTCGTATTTAGTAAATTGCCCTTTAATTACCGAGAGCACCTCTCTTCACATGAGGAAACGTCTCATAAGCGAGAAAATGCAGGTGACGACACTTAGGTGAAGTTCCCTCGACTCGTGATGGCATAAGTTTTCACGCCTTTTGCTGGACAGTCTAATACGTAGTTTTCAATTAGAAAAAAATGAAGTGCATTGGCTTAGGAAATCTAAGAGATTTCTTTCTCAGTGCGGCCAGAACGCAAGAACGAAACAACAGAAAAGAATGGCCGAAACAAGAAAAAAATATGGACCATCTCTTTGAAAGGAACCCTGATAGGATGCGATGCAACAGCGGTGCGCATGGCGTTGACCCGGTTGAAACGGACGTCGATGCTGGTGCTGGAAGAACGAACGATTTGAAGCAAAACTCAGTGTAGCGTTTACTCCAGTAAAAGTTCGTTTGAGACGCAGAGACACGGGTGGCGAGTTGGGTTTCGTGAAAGTGTGGTCGAGCGTTGCGTGCGGTGGGGAGGGTGTAGCGAGAGAGAAGTGAGCTGCGAGCGGGAGGAGGAGTCGGTAGTGGCGAGGGTGCTACGGGTGAAGGAGACAGGGACATTAGCGCGCACTTGCGAGGAGAGCGTGATGAGAACACGCAGCTGGGTCATGAATATGGGCGTGACCTGCTTGCCCCGCTTCAACATCTGCGGCGAGGGGAACGCGTTGCGGGGTGTTCGTACGGACGCACGTGCGTGCGGCGTTACACTCATGAGTCAAAGGGCTGCTTCGCGTCTAAAAACGACTTGGTTTGTACGTACAAATTGAAAACGGAACTACCGTTTTCCGCAACCGCCGAGCGGAAAACCGCGGTCGTGGTGACACGATAATCAATAGTGACTGCTGGCCGAAGGCACGTGGCTAAAGCAGCGGTTATTAAGGTTATTAAAGGCAATAAAGACGTAAAAAAGGCTGGAAGCGTTTTGGCGTTCCTGTCCAAAAAATAAAATCTAGTAACACGTTCCTGTCGTTCTACATACTTTGGCTATACTTTGGCATTAAGTTTTCAGTTGGTCTCAAGCGAAACTTCGACACGCGCTTTCCCGGCAGCCAGCTGCGCCGTCCCGTCCCTTCGCGTGTACCAGGAAGACATGCGCGAATTCTTTTGAGAGAAATAGGTTTTGCTAGTTGTTTTCATGACACAAAATTTCTGGACATACGAGGTGTTATACCGCTTTATGAGACATTTTATTGTAGTAGGTAAACTCTACCCTCGTGTGTTCGGCCACTCCAAGTCATTATAAGACAGCAACTCCGATGTTAACGACCCCCCCCCCCCCCCACTGTTTTTGCTGTTTTTTATTTTCCTTATGGTGCAAAAAAGGGGGTGGGGGATTAAACAATGCGGCCTCCCCTCCCGCGCAGAACGCCTGATATAGTTAAAATGTCCGAATTTCTCCAATATGTCATCCCTCATAATCATGAATATCGTGGTTTTGAGACGTAAAACCCCAGATATTACTACTGATCAACAGCGTTTTAAGACCATGCTCAAAAAGTCTTAGTTGAGCATGGTCTTAAAACAGCATTTCAAGACCATGCTCAACCAACACAACACTAGCATGAACCACGAACTACTGATTGTAAATAGAAGAGTATACGTGCGCAAGTTACCTCCTCGCATTCTCCTTTATCTTCCGCAGAACTTGGCGGAGCAGTAACTTTCTTGAGTTATTCCCGGGAGTCTGCATCAAAAGTGGACTCAATCAGAAAGAAACCAGTGTGCAAAAATACCTACTCAAACAAGGCGCAAAAAAGACGAGAAAGGATGGCACCTCACTAACCCCGTCACTTATGCATCATAAACTAATGCATTACTAACCGTCATCACTAACCTGTTACTTATGAAATATATATACTTCTACGTACCAGTGACATCGGGATGATCAGTATCGGTGGTTCTGCTCGCTTAACCATTTGGAAGTATATCTGACTCTACTCCTTCGAGTGTGCACTTTTCGCGTAATAATATAATTAATCTTGGTGGATAATGTGCTCAAACGCATACGGAACAAGGGGAGGATGACCACCATGAGCTTCCGGAAGGAGGCGGAATGGAGGGGGGGCAGTTGACCCCCCCTCTTAGTGGAATGTCGGATGATATTTACATAACGGCACTGAGTTCTGGTATATGTATACATGTGTGAAATGGCACTTAGGATTGCGAGCCGGTGTCTCGTGTTACGAGTAATCTTGCGGCCTAGGCTTTTGCGAGAAACTTTTGATGGGGAAAGGGGGGTTCGTCTTAATATATGTGTGAGCGCGCGTTTGTATGCGTGCGTGTATATGCAAAAAAAAAAGATGCACATATGCAACACATACAAAATGGAAAACCTTCGAGGTTTTGAACCCCGCTCCATCAGTATAAGATATATATACATCACACCTTACACACATAGAATACGAGCTGCGCTCGTGTTTGCTTTGTGTTTTGGGCATTTCGCGCAGTTCAAGAATGTTTAACAGCAATGAACCAACTATATGTCTGCGAAGACGTAGTACTGAGATTCAAACTAAAATAGATTCTGGTTACATGACTAAATAATTTACGTACCGCTGCTTGTGCGGGTGGACACCGTGTCCTCGTCATCCGAGTCAGTCTCAGCCAGTTGCTCCACGACTGCGGCCAGTTGAGTCGCTTCCGCCAGCAGAGATTGAGTTCGCCTGAAAGGACATCGTGACGGAGGAAGCAATAACCTGGATTTGCAACGCCATCATCGTTCAACAGTGAAGGGTTCTACTTAGGGTGAAATAAACGGTCCTCCGCAACCGTGAACACTGCCTGCAAGTTTGTTTACGTCGATTGCATTTGAGAGATGATGGCGAACTCTTTCCTGTGCAGTTGTCTGGTCAGCAGGCGCGAAGTATTTGTCTGCTCGTGAGGCAGGTTCATGTATTTTAACGCGACCGATTCTTTTGAAGAGCTCGACTGTTTCGCACTAACTGTGGGGCCGGTGGTTGTGAGCAAAAAAAAAAAAATCGCCGTTGTCCGTCAGCGAAATTTTCATAGATATGCTAATAAAGAAATAAAAAAAAAGCATGGCTGATCCCTCCATATAAGAATCGATATACCATGAAAGTAAAACATTTCCTTACGGAAGTAGCTTAATGTCTACTGTACATTGATATAAGTGAGCTTATACAATGTTTGTTGGTGTATAACAGCTGAAGCACCTTTTAAAGAAGTGCATCCACGCTTAGTGATACATCTTGATCCAGACGACTGATGTACATCATGAATGACTGATAAACGATTAAACATATGCCCTTGTGATCATGGATGCCTGTAGTAGTTGTAGTAGTTAACGGGGAGAGCGGAACCAAAGAAAGATCTGCGACAGCCAGAAAGCGTCAATGATTGTACGCCAAAGACACCCCTAAAGAAACTTCGCCAAGGCCGGGAACTGCTACCGCATGCATACACCGCACAACTAGCACAACGTCATCGGTAGTGGGCTGGAATTTTTCAGTGGACCGATTTTGTTCTCCGGACGCTAGCACACACTCGACCACTGCTGGGTGGCGACGCTGGTTGCGTTGCGCGCTGTGCTTGGTGATGGTTCCTCACCGACGCCGGCGTTCGGCGGTGTGTTCGCATCGGCACTTGGGCGCAAGATGTGTATCGAATACTTCATATGCTGGCGGGGATCCCATGTTATTTTTTATTGTAAGCTTCACGGAAAAAAATCACAGCGTATCCACGGATGAGTGGGGTGAAGCATCTGTCTGTCTGTCTGTCTGTCTGTCTGTCTGTCTGTCTGTCTGTCTGTCTGTCTGTCTGTCTGTCTGTCTGTCTGTCTGTCTGTCTGTCTGTCTGTCTGTCTGTCTGTCTGTCTGTCTGTCTGTCTGTCAATCCGTTAGTCCGTCCGCCCGTCCGTCCGCCACCTATGAAAATCCTAACAAACTGAACCACATGCAACGTAAACTTCTTTAAAGAAAGCTGAAGTACCGCCAACCACACCCTTCACCTCTACTTCCTCTCCCGGCAACCACAGCAGCGCCTCTGAGTGTCCACCAGGAAACTACGAATTCGAAAGCACACGGATGCACTGGATGTGCCAGACGCTTGGGCAGCTCGGGCACTGCTGCGCCGTGTGTTCATCGAGCAGCCGTGCCTCGGGTATGCTGAAAGGGGAGAGGAGCGCGCGCTCTCGAAACTGGACAAACAATATGGCATTTGCGTTACCTTCACAAAAGCTCGTGCGTCATGCTGCAGATTCTTAGCACCGCCGAGTTTACATGGACAGCAGCGGTTCTGTCATCCAGAGCGTTACCGCTAAGCGCGTCTGCACGCAAACGGTGGGCTATCGCGTTGAGTATTGCATGCTTGCGGTGATGTTTTTGTCACCACGTACCACTAGTATATGTCACATCGTCGTAATTAACGTTACTTTTTATATTTTTTTCTTTCTCGATCACTCTTTCGGTGCTTCGCCTAAAACCACGTGCAGCACCCAAATGAGCTCTAAAAGACAGATGAGCACGCGCCCATCTTTGCAGCCAGGAGCCATACAGCCCCTCAACTAGAGTCATGAAGCGTGGAAACTTGGACAAGTTGGTAGAACTTGACTGAATGTAGGAACAGCGCAATCCAGAAGTAGTTACTGTGTAACTACGAAAGCTGTCCTTGTTTTGTCCTTCTTTTTTCACTTCCGTAGTTACGCAGTAACTACTTCTAGGTTTCACCGTTCCTACATCCAGTCAACTAGAGTCGTTTACTATCTGCTATGCATGCGAGGGGAGAGGAGCCTGCACTGCACATTGACACAAATGGCGCTACTTTAGATTTTTTTTTCGGGGACATTGACGCAATGCGCGCCTCCACGCCATCTGGTGATCACTCCACGTACTGCAATCACAGAACACTTATATACTACCATGCTGCAATGATGCTGCTAAATGCTGCGACAGTGCAGCGCCATCTAGCGAACATTGCGAGAAGTAAGGGGTGGCTACTACAATGGAGCGACTGTGCCACAGCGTATGAAGCTTCGCCCCTAAAAAAAAACTAATCTTGCATTTCTTTGTTGATATTGTCGGTCGCTTCCACTTTGTGATGTGCGCTGCTTTACTTCGTGCGTGGGTTCTACGGTGAGAGAATAGACTGTGAGGGGTGATCCAAGGGGTGTTTCGCGTGCAACCACGGCTATTTCTATGTGTATTGTTAACACTTCCAGACTCTGTGATGAGACGCATCGTACTCTTCATCAGACAACCCAAGCCCCGCCGCAGTGGTCTATAGTGGCTAAGGTACTCGTCTGCTGACCCGCAGATCGCGGGATCGAATCCCGGCTGTGTCGGCTGCGTTTCTGATGGAGGCGTAAATGTCGTAGGCCCGTGTGCTCTGATTTGGGTGCACGTTAAAGAATGCAGGTGGTCGAAATTTCCGGAGCCCTCCACTACGGCGTCTCTCATAATCTTATGGTGCTTTCGGGATGTTAAACCTTACAAATGAATCAATCAATCAGACAACCCAAGCTGTCGTGGAGGGCATTCAAGAAGGAGAAAACGTACAGCGAGCAGACTGGAATGTCGTTTTGACTACACGAGCAATATCAAAAAAGATTTTACAGGTGTCAGCGTATGTGACAGCGCACGTAGAACGCCCTCAAGAAGCGCCCTTAAGAACGCCCCCAAGAAGTTTAAAATAGAGGAAACCTTGTTTACATTTTAATGTCAGCTGTCAATGCACTTGTGCACAACTTTTTTCTTGTCGAACAACATGCAACAAAGCCTCAGATTTAAAAGACCAATAGGCATGCAGTGCCACATAGTCGCGGAATGGTCGCTGGACTTGCTTGCAGGTGAAGACTTCACAAAGTTTGATTACTGTGACCATGGACACGATAGCGAACTAGTGGTTTAGCATTCACTGTGGGGCAGAAGAACTGTTTCCTAAAAAATTCGTCTTGATACTTCAATGACAATAACAAAGGAGAAAGAGGGTGAATACAAGTCCAGAAAAAGAAAACTCGACACGCTGGCTAATAGATGAGTGCACGAGTGCTTGGAATGGAGAAAAAAAACTGACAAAAGCAAAATGACGTGTGTACACTTTCAATCATCCGTAGTATTTTTTTTTCAAGCATAAGAACGTTTATCACTGAAATAACAAGAGTTTTAATCGACAAAAGCTCATTCACTATCGACCTTGCACGAGTCGAAGCGTCGGTCTACTGGTAACATGTTTTCGTGGCTAGAAGAGCCATAGACCCGTCCCGCGAAGAGCTCCTTGGCTAAGATCGCGTATACTCGTGGCATGTTAGATTGAACGCCACTGCCCGACTAGAGGAAAACGCAACGTGGGTTGTGTTAGAGTGACAGTTGTGTCTTCCCTCTCGGCCGGCCATGATTTTAGGGGCAAAGCTTCTTATAGCAGCACCCGTTCGTCCCTTGAAGTCGTAAAAGTAGTGTGTAACCAGTCTTACATTTTGACCTTCAAAGTGGTGCCGGTGCAAGATTTCTTCTGTGTGTTGTTGAACAATGAAAAATTCGCAGCGTGCGCGTTAACTAAAAGCCAAATTCTCCTGTCTCTCATTCCCCTTTAGCAGCCATTGGCATGTACATTGAGCACTATCTGACAAGAAAGGGTTGCTACGTTATACTCGCTGGGCGTAACCTCCTTGGTTTTAGAAAGGTTTAGCGAGCGTTGGGCCGCAGTGCCATGAATACAGTGAACTAGTATAGGCACCCTCCGATGGAGGCGGAAATGTTGTAGGACCGTGTGCTCAGATTTGGGTTCACTTTAAAGAACCCCAGGTGGTCGAAATTTCCGGAGCCCTCCACTTCGGCGTCTCTCATAATTATATGGTGGTTTTGGGACGTTGAACCCCACATATCAATCAATTAGTATAGGCACCCGAAAGTGGACCAGAGGGCGCGACGAAGCATTTTGGGCCGCCACATCATTGTTGCTACCGACCGCCAGGGATACTAAGAAAATGAAACGCTCTCTGAACACAGAGACACGCTGAAGCGTTAGTGCCCTTTTTGGGGCGTTTTCAAAGAACGCTTCCTGGGCGCTTACATAATCAGTCGTGAACCCTGTGCTCACAACTAAAAAAGAAAATGATATGCACGTGCAAGTCCGATTTCAGCGTCTGCTCGCTATAGGCTACGCATTGGAATACTCTTTTTTGCTGCGCCTACTCGCTAGGTTGCGTGTTGTGGCACTACCATAAGATCTTGTAAACTGCGTTGCCGGGTGCCTATATACCATCAACTCGGGGTGGTTAAAGGTGGGAAGTAGACACGAAGCGCAAGCCGTAAGAAAGTGTGCGTGTGCCTCCTCTCGTTCAGTCCTTGGAATGTCCGCTGGATGGCGGTGCTTCAATATGAGGAATATATCATGAAAAGATGTGAGATGGTGGTACTTGGAGTGTTGAATAGGTGGACGAACGGACACACAGACTGATGTATGGACGGACGCACGCATGGCTGCACGGACGGATGGACGCATGGACGGACGCAGGAGCGGATGCATGGACGAAAGCAGGGACGGACGCACAGATGGACGTGCGGATGCACGAACAGACGCACGGACGGGCGGATGGACGCACGGGCGGCCACACAGATGCACGCATGGACAGACGGATGCTTCGCCCCACTCTCCATCATTCACTCCGAGGATATTCTGCCATTTTTTTTTCTCGGGAAGAGCCAGAGCGCATACGCGAACGTGGAGTTACATCCAGGCCGTAGATTATTCACTATATATAGAAACGACGCGTTGAAGGAACTAATCGTGAATGTCATGGTCGTGATGAAGTTCCACGTTTTTACCTGGAGCACCATGAAAAGGCAGTGGTAGATATAAAAGACGCATTTCCAAAGCCTGCTAAAACTTCTAAAGAAAAAAAAAAAAGACCGTGGCGCAGTGAATAGTGTGCCCGGTTCTTTATTGACTGCCTGGTATACCTTCATACCAACTCCTGGCTCGAATAACAGTTTTATAGGCGTAGTTTGAATGTACTGCCATATTTATGCATGAAGAGGAATCGCTACTTACTGTCTGAAAAGCTTGCAGGACAGAAGAGCTTCGTACAGCTCACCTTCCAGTTTTGAAACCTTCGCCTCCTCGGAAACAGCACCTGTACCAAGAAGAACGTGGTATTATTATTATTATTATTATTATTATTATTATTATTATTATTATTATTATTATTATTATTATTATTATTATTATTATTATTATTATTATTATTATTATTATTATTATATCACATTTGTATCGACTTGGGCAAGCAAACTCCCCGTACTGCAAATAGCTATGATTTCGTTTTCTTCAGGCACTTACATTCCTTCAGTGTTTGTTCCGGCATCGCAATCGCCTTATCAGCATCTCTTGGTGTCATTGTAAAACTGTCGTAAGTCGTCCTCTTCTCTATAAGTTCTGAAAACATTCAGGCGTATAGCGAATTGAAGTAGTTGGTGAAGCGGCTCATTCGAACCTCTAAGGTACCTCTTACCTCTTTCCATCCTGAGCTATAAAGAAAAAAAGCGCGACACATTGTTTAATAATCTGCTTTCTTCAAACAAAGTGACCATTTTGTTTCAATCTTACCTTGTCCAATCTTACTTCCATCTCGACTTGTTCCACGTTTTCCAAAGTTTTTCGTTGTAATCGCCTTAGTTCCTCGTTGATGTCCCTTCCGTCGTAGTCTAAACTAGACGATCCCTGAAAACAAATCAAGCGTCTGCGCTTCAACGAGTGTCATCATATATAGCACCTATTTCTTCAGAAGGAAAAAAAAAAGGAGGTGGTGCTGGCTCTGTATCACTTTAAAATGCCTACAAAGCGATCAACAAAGTGGTTAAGGAGGCTATAATAAACTACCACTTACGCTTAAGGAGCTCTGCGACATTCTCAGTCAAGCGTGATTGCGGCGTGACAACAGGGAAATTCTGTGAAGCGGTGAGAGCGCCGAAGTGGTCTTAGCAGGTGACCCCAGGAACGCGTCGTCTGTTTCTTGTTCGAATAATTTTTCGGCACTAGCGTTGGTGTTGACCGTTTTTATTGTTTTAATTAAAAAATAAATCTTTCCCGATGTCGGCTATTTGAAAGCATTTTGCTTTCTCAATTAAGTGCACATTACTTCGCTACTCCAACGAGGGGATATGGTAACGAGAGTATGCGCTCTGTAGCAGACGAACATTTAGCGTGCAGACGACATTTCTTTCGGGGTCGTAAGTCAGGCTTTGTAGTTGCGTGGTGAAATGAGCATCAAAAAGGACTTAAATTTTCTTGTATCAGCTAAGAAACCTTTTTAACTTTCTTGTTTAGTTACCATAAACGTGCAGTCCTAATAACGACGTGTGTAGGGTACTTTTTCGGTATAACGATTCGAGATACTCGAGGCATGTGGATGAACAACTGGTCGTTAAATGGGATATTGGCTTTGATTTAGGTGTTCGAGTCAAAATGAAGCCGATATGACATAATCTATAGACCCTGAAAACAAAAGTACAAGCAGTAAATAATCCTAAATTTCGCGTTTCGATCCGTGAGTGCTGTTCATGTTCACATGCACTATTCCTGGTGACAATCTTTTCCCAGTTAAAAAATGCTTGAGTTGTCGAACGGAACTTTTTCTAACATCATAGCTGATTCAACAGTGAAATAATGCTGGCTGCAATCTGATTGTGCGCAGTTAGGCGAGCATGTAATGACGTTGTGCATTCAGGAACGCAAGCCATAACTTTTAAATGTACGAGATGCTCTTATTCCGCAAATCGAAAAGTCGTTACACTGTCAGTTCTGTGTGTTTTTCTGGAAGTAAGGTTTGTCCAATAATAATTTCACCCTATAACTAACAATTTATTCACTGTATTGTTCATTGTCGCTACAACGTGACAGTCTCATTCTATAATCGCTAACACCTATACCTTCACCACAATACGTCTACGTATTGCCGTGAGGCTATTTGTTATGCCACAATAAAAATAATATAGGCAAAAGAAGACTTAAGAAAATTACCACACGTTATAAAGAATATGTGACGCCTTCATTCCAAGGCACACTAAATGAAGGCACGATAAGCTTACGCAGTACACTCGTGCATAATACCGTTTTATTTTCACCTTAACTCCTTAACGCATTGAATATGCTTTTCTGCGTTACACAACTGTCATGCAGTGAAGCAACTGCAAATGAGTACAAGATACATCGAGAAGAGCAACGCAAAGTTTAAAAAATGCCCTCACCTCCCTGAAGGTAATCGTGAAAAATGCGAATACATTGCTTAGCGCTCATGAAAAAGTTTCGCACGTGAGAACCCAGTGTTAGAAGAATGTTTTTTTTTTCATTTCTCTAGGGCCGAAGCTCTTGAAAGCTTGGGCTGAGCGTCCCGTCGTAATCGTATGTAGCCACCTCTCGTTAGTTCTTCAAACGGCCGTAGAGGGCGGTGCATGTACATATAACGAAATTCATATACGCTGAAATATGCAAATGGTACGATACTGTAGAGTACGTTACTTGTCGTATAATAAATAATAAATATCACAGCATATCCATGGAGTGATCAATGACGATGAGTGGTGCAAAGCCTACGTCAATCCATCCGTGCTTGGGTCCATCTGTTTGTTCTTGATTCCGTAAATCCCTGCCCGTGGGTCCATCCGTCCATCCGTGCGTCTGTCCATTCGTGCACCCGTCCTTGCGTCCATGCGTTCGTCTTCTCGTGCGTTCATCTGTGCGTCCATCTGTCCATCCCTGTGTTTGTCCATGCGACCATCCGTCCCTGCGCTCGCCCTTGCGTCCGTCCATCTTTCGTGCGTTCGTGTATCCATACTTCCTTGCATCCGTCCTTCCGTCTGTCCGTCATCGTTAACCTCGTAGATGTGCTGTGATTTTTTTTTCTTACACCATCCAGCCAATAGCGCCGTTCGCCGCGCGTGGCGTTTTTCCGTTGCTTGAAACGCGATATGCATTTCCAGCTGTAATAGTTAGCGTGCTCGGTTAAAAAAACGCTACACAATCTCTGGCAGCACAAACGCTATATACAAACGCGTTTCAAACGCACTGCATTGAGGCAGTGGCAAGTCACGTTCAAGCCAAGGAGGTGAGGGCTCCGGTTGCTAGGGGCGAGGATAAGCGCGCGCGCCCGCAGCTGTTGCTGACAGCTGCCGACGCCGAAGCGTGACATGGTGGGGGCTTGGACAGGCCGGTGGCCATAGAGTTTCCTAAAATTAACTAGAGGGGACTCTGGCGCTACGATCGTTCAGCGACCATGAGAACGATGGGTAGTACACACATTTGCCTAGTCTTCGTACTTGCGGGCGGCGAATCGTACTTCAGGCTTCGTTTACTGCTGTGTTTCGGTTTTGTTTTGAAAGAAAGATTCAACCCTTTTGAACTTTGTGACCCGATTTGGGAAAGAAAGTCTAAGAGAATAAGATGGAGAAGCGCTACCGCTTAACATTTGCTAATATTTCTTTCGTGAGAAAACAGCTCCGAGCCACACGAAGCCAAAAGCGGGCCAGAAGTACAAATATTAGACAAATGTGTGTAGGCTACCCATCATTCCCAAGCTCCCTGAAGCGCCGTGCATTGCAGCTCCCATAGACACTAGCGCCAGAGTTCCCTCTAGTGTATATTAGGAAACTCTATGCCCGTGGCATGTGGCGAGCTTCGCTTCCGCGCTGTGATGCGTCGCTACCATCGAAACTACAACAGCGCAACGCCGTCGATGGCAAACGCAACGCCATCTAAGCCCTTTTTGTTGGTGATTTTCGCAACACTTGAAAATATTACACATAAAAACTTTTTCACGATTAATTTTAAGCATTTATAAGCACAAATAGTGCGAACGCGTGGAAGATTGGAAAGTGACCCGCTTTAGCTGGCAGAGTGAACACGGAAACAAACAGTCGAGCCGCACCAGCTGCTCGTGAAAGGCAGGCGGATACGTTGATATTACTTACAGAAAGTTTGCCAAATACTGTCAAGGAGGTGCTACGACATCTTCGGCTATAGAAGTGCAATAACGATAGCGGTACACCTTTACTTGCTGCAGTGAAGTTTTCGTGGAGTGCGATTTCTATATCAGTCAAAGCTGGACAGCTTCTCTGCTCCGGGCATCTGCGTTGAGGGCTATGCGTAGTACGTACGTACGCGCTATCTGATGCATGCATGCTGTTCACTGCCGTACATGCGTTACTTACGTTACCTCTAGCTCATGTAAACATTGAATGCCTCGCAATAAAACAATCAATTTATTGCTGCAAGTTTGCGTGATCAGCGTGGTCGTTTCGGTTGGCCTATATATATTGTCGCGAGAGGAAACGATAGGCAGGAACTCGAAGTAAAGGACTGTTTACTCAGCCACAGCTGCCATTCACTTCTTCGCTCTCGTCTTTTGCCACCAACACAGCGTGGCATTACCCTCTCCTCAAAGAAAAAAAAAAGAAGAAGAAGCATCGCACGAATACCACGGCTACGAAAAACAACGAAAGGTAGTCAGAAATGTCTGTGTCCTTTGAAAAGAAAAGGACGAGATGAAAAATAGAGAAGCAAGAAAGTAATGCACAATTGTCTTGAAGGCTATTGCCACATCACAAAGTTCTTGACTTGCAGTAAACGCGAATAGTATGGCTTCATCCTGGATACGTGAACCACATCCGAGGAGCGTGGTCTGCGAGAACGTTGTGACGTGTCTGCTGGGACAACTTCGTAGTTCACTTCGCCGAGGCGATGAATATCTCGGTAGGGTCCAAAGCACCGACATGACAATTTTTCTGAGCGTTCCCGTTCACGTATAGAAGTCCAAACCCAGACTAGGTCACCGGGTTCGTATATTACTGCTCTGTGGTGGGTGTTGTATCGGCGAGCATCTTGATTTTGCCGCGATAAAATGCGAAAGCGCGCCAGCTGCCGGGCGTCTTCGGCACGCTGAACAAATACATCTGCGTCGGGGGTAATCGTGTCCGGCAGAGTTGGTTGCAGCATGGTGTCAAGCATTGTGGTGACGTCGCGGCCGTAAACCAGACGAAAAGGAGCAAAGCCGGTGGTTTCCTGCAAAGCCCTATTGTAGGCAAATGTTATATACGGGAGGATTTCATCCCAATTCTTCTGATCCTTGGCGAC